AATAATAAGTATAATATTTAAAAATAATAATAATAAATAAAATAAACGGATCAACTCGTCAATCTGTGAGTTGATCATAACCTAACCTGTGACCCATACGGATTGATAATACAAGTTATTTACGAGTTGCGGGTCAAAATATGTAGACCCTAACCCATTTTTACGGATCGAGTTAAGGTCAAGTTGATGGGTCTAGTGAATTTTTGTAAGGTTGACTTCTCGTGTATCCACTTGTAGGGCAAAGGGGGTTGGAGCCTGGCCCCCTCTAAATATTTTGTGAAGAAGCTAGTTTGACCCATTAAGTTTTCTAATATAGCATTTCAAGTTATATATTATTGATCTGTATGCACTATACTTAATGAAATCCTTCACATGTATCCACTGGCAGAGCCGAGGGGCCAGGCCTAAGGGGGCACAAGACCCCCTCTAAACTTTTTGTGAAAAGCTAGTTTGGCCCATTGCATTTTGTTTTTATTGTTTTCACCCTTTTTTTAATTATATTCTATTTTCATTTTTTTAGTTTTTTATGTTGAGAAAGATGAGGAGGAGAATAAAGATAACATGAAACAAAAATAATTGAATAAAAAATTGTTTAATATCATTATTTCACAAAGTGTTTAATTATTCATTAATAGACTTTTGTTTTCTACCTTTTGTTTATTAATACTCTTCTCCTTAATATATATTCATTTTTGTCATTTAATTGATAACATTTATAATACATCATCAATCACTAATTAATAGTCTATTATTAAAGAGTAATAAATTTTATTTAAACAAAATTTTTATTTTCTCATTTCATTAATTTTTCAATTTATGTACAAACACATCATTTGTTGATAAAAAAATTTTTTACCCCTAAAATTGGTTTCTGGCTTCATCACTACCTGTATCTTGTTTAATCACAAAAGAACATCATATGTTCGTGCCCCCAGAATTTTTCTTTTTCGCATTTGTGCCGAACAAAGAAATTAAGGACAAGTAGTGTGAAGCGATGAATGATATTACTAGTCGGAGTAATCATTTC